TGCTGCATTGAAAAACAAGGAACTCATGCAATATTATTCAAAATGGGTGACCCTGGAGGACATTATGCTGAGTGAAGTATCTCAGTCACAAAAGGACCAATACTGCATGGGGCCCCTCTTGTAAAACAGGACTGACATTGGGGTTGGGGGGAGACTGAGAAAGATGTGTTCAATAATGTACACTTCACTGAAACAGATGAGGGAGAAAACTGTTTAAAAGGGATATGTGATTAGGTATTTTTGTCATGACAGGTGTCTAGAGAGAAGGCTGTGTGGTGGCGTGGATCTGGGGGAGGGTTTGCAAAATAATGAAAGTATTTTTGTTTTACTTTTCCAAGAGGGTAGTGTTCGGGGGGGAGGGTTGGGAGGGGAGAAAAGTGAAACAATGAATGAATGGAAGTCCAAAGTCTCTTTAAATTTTTATTGAAATTAATTAAAAAATTTAAAAAATTTAAAAAACCAAAAATAAATTGCACATACAAAAAAAAACCAACAAAAACTATGTTCCATTTCTTTCACTGTCCTTTTTTTGTACCTTCTAGTCTATATTTCTGAAATTTTAGACTTGATATTTTGAATTTCAATGTCCTTTTTTTGTATTATTTCTAATTCTAGTTCATTTTACATTTTGTCTTATATTGTTGGCTTTGTTAAATTTTGTTTATGTTTGTTTCTAATTCTAGATTGTTTTCTATGTTTTCCTTGGTTTTGTCTGTGTTGTTATGTTGTTTGGTTTTTATTTTTTTACTTTTTCTCAATCTAATGCAGCTCTCACCATTCTTTTGAATTTTTATGTTTTAGTGAAATTTCTTCCTCTGAAAAATTTTCTAGTTCTCTATTTTCATTATTATATTTCCATCTTGTCTTCCACTTTTGGCTGGCTTCTTGTTATCTGTTGTTTCCAAGTATTGGATTGTGTTGTCTTTGTGTGTTTTAGTTTGAGTAGGGAATTGCACTGCTCTTAACTCAAAGGCAAGTGCATTTGGTCCTAACTTAAGGCAAATCGAGGCAGCTCAAATGCACCATCTGCTCAATGGTAGAAACAGGGACAATCTCATGTAATTTGCAGCCTCTGAAAGCTCGTTACAGGTTTCAATTTTAAGTCGGTTTCAAATCAATGACAAAGAGTCTCACATATTATATATTTTATTGTCATGTGAGTACAGAGCAAAGCTTGCCATTTGACAATTGTTAGCATTTCACCTCTTATCTTGTGGTGGATGTGATAGAAGATGGAGGTGTGTGTGCAGTTTTAAGCTCACTGTTCACATTGAGCTGTGGAGAACAGACTTACTAGAAAGCAGCAGTCTTTCTTTAATCAGGTAGAGCAAGACCTCATCTTTACTCTTGCTAGATTGGTGAAGCTGCAGAAGAATGTATCTGTGGCTGGATATTACAGTTGTCTGATGTCAGAAGGGACAAGATAAAGGGGCAGAAACAAAAAAAATACACATTTGGAAAACAAAAGAAAATAAAAAAAGTAAAATTGAGAGAGCTATCAAAAGAAGGCGTATCAGAACATAATGAAAAGGCAGAAATAAGAAAGAAAAATGGACTGTGAGAGAGAAAAGACTGTCATGGGGAAAGAGAAAAGTTAGAAAGAAAAGAAAGCAGATGAAGCCAAAGAATAAATGAAACCAACAAGAACAACATTAAAAAGAAACCAAGAAAAAAACATCAGTCCAAAAAGTGATGGCAAAGAAAAAATGAGAGGTGTAAAGAGGAAGTTTGGAAGAGGGTAGGTATGGCACTTTAATAGTGCTTTTGCCACTGCTGTGGTGGATGGATGTAAGATATCTGGTCTAGAAAAACGTATCTGCCAGACAAGCAGGAGATTGGTATTGGAGAGCCTCGTCAGATCAGCATTTATCCTATCAGAGGTGTCCAGAACCCAAAATGTGTGCCAGACCACTGATAGCATCTACTCTCATCTAGCGGGAGTTTAGAGGTGAGGCATTCAGACTCTAACAGAGTTTAATTGGGCTTAGAAAATTACTAGGGTATTCTCCCTGGCTAGTGACAGTCTTTGCCAGTCTAGGCAGAGGGTGTGTACAATCTGCCAAATCAGAAGTGGTTCTCATGAAGAGGCAATTGTTGCTTATCAGAGATGACCAAGAACAACACACTCCAGGATGATTGCATTGCTCCAAACGTGGTCATAGAGTATACCAGGCAAGGTATCTTATCAGAGTGTCTAGTGAAATATAGGCCTTCAAGTCAGAGGTAATGCTCCCATCAATCCAAGGGCTAGTTGCAGGCCAGACAAAAAAAAAAAGCCCTCCTTACTCCTAGAATCTCTGAAAGTAGAGTTCTTTGCACTTTCTTGGCACTAGAAAAAAAAAGTGAGTCAGGACTCAGGCAGAACTGGGCGGACTCATAAAACAACACCAACCACAATGTGAGTCGAGATGATGATGGAGAAGTCACTCTCCTGACCCTGAAGAAAATATAGGAAGCAAGGAGGGAGACTGAAGCTTTCTTATCACCACAACCACTGGTGTGGATACCAATGGGTTTCTACATACAACCAATCACCCCAAAGGGTGATTCCATACTATTTATATTTCTGTGCTTAGTCAATTTCTTTATTTGATGTT